TGAAAATATACGATGTATTAAAAGATACGAACTCTAATGTACGCAATCGGAGGCATATCACCTTCTGATGTATATATGTTTCTGATGCAATCCAATGTGTGTATAATAGAAAATGGTTTGAACCCAGGAGTATCAGTAGTTCGTATAGTGTGATCGTCCAGGTGATGGTAGTTCTGAAAAGAACTGTGGTTGGTGACTTACGTTTCGACAACCTGAGTGGAAGTAATCTTCAGAGTCAAGGGTTCACTTGACTCGGTGTCAGAGTCACTTCACTTGACTCCAGTATATACAATCAAACGAGTGTTTACTATTTTAAGAAAAAGTTGGTTCGAAAAAGTTTAAAACAGCCGGGGGGAGGATAGGGGAAGACGTACAAGCTCATTATTTTCCGTTTTACTCACTGCAGCAAACAGACGTAATAATCACGGATTACTCGCGAGTTCTCACGCTATTTTCCACATGATAGTAAAAATCGGAGACCTTGGCTGCTTCACCAAATATTTTCCGAACTATACTCGCCACAAAATAATATATTCAACCAAGTGTAACTCATCATCGAATGTCTTTCTATGGCTGTACCTATTGCTCGATAGATTATAAAAAGTAACGGTAAACTAATGTATGCTAATAAGCCAATCTCGTACCCAGATCTCTTGGGCAACCTTGGCCGAGCGAGAGATCTGAAAACGAACTTTTGAGTGAGTAAGCCTCAAACCTGATCTCCAGCGGGTTCAATAACAACATGACCACCTGCGAAGGGAAAAATAGATATGACAATCAATACTTTTTCATGCTTTAACTGACAGATAATGTCACGGATTGATGGCACTAAATAATAATAATAATAATAATAATAATAATAATAATGGCACTTTTATAGCGCATATCAACATGTGGATATGTTCACATGCGCTTTACAAAATTATTTATAAAAACTATTCACAAATAAAAAACTAAAATCAAAATCCTAATTCTAATCATATTTACATCGAAATAAAAAGTAAAATGCATCACGATCAGTGATAAAACAAATTAGAAAAACAGAAGAATAAAATAAACAAACTAAAAAGATTTTCTCTATACATGTATATCATCATTATAAACATTGTTCCAATATCATAAAATATGTAATTAATGTCAGTTATAGATTATAAGCCACTTTGAATAAATATGTCTTTAAAAGAGATTTAAAAGTTATAAAATTGTCTGTTTTTCTAATGTTCAGTGGTAGTTTATTCCATAACGAGGGTGCAGCTGCTGCAAATTAAAAGATCTATCACCTAACGTCTTTCTGCATCGTGGTATAGTTGGAGGAGCAAACCTTTGCTTGATCTTAAACTGTACTTGGTCGATGGTTCCATGTTAATTAAGATACATAGATACTCTGTTGTTAGGCCATGGACTGCTTTAAACGTAAGGATGTTAAGATCTTGAACCTTATACGATGCTCTATAGGCAGCCAGCCAACATACGGTAATAAGATTTGTCCATGATTGATTGCCTCAGTAGCTCGAAATTTACTCCCAATCTTCCATTGAATTTTGTTTGTGAGCCGATAAAGATCACCGTATTATTGTATTTCCCGAGCCTCGTTTTACACGAAAGTTTTGTCAAGCCTTCATTACCGCCATTCTGTCTAACGACAACAAGATCTTTTCTGTACAATTTAGCAAAAACAGCAGTATCCAGAACAATTTGATTTCAATAAACTCAAACCTATGTATAAATAGAGGAAAGTCTAGATCATGAAGTCTCTCATATTTGACTTCATTGAGAGAACACGATCGCGCGCGTGTTGCGCTGACTTGAAAGAGAAAACGCTCCTTTTAATTTTGGCCCCAAATTATTACAAATTGCAGGTTTGAAATGTAGTCCTAACGTTTCAACCAAAACAATTAGAATACTCAGTTTCGTATTCTATTATAATGAACTCGACTGCTCCCCGTTCTCCTCAGCTTTTCACTCACAAATACCTCAGACTCGTTCATCTAATTTTCTCACAGTCATTCATAATATACCACGTTTAAACAAAGAAAATCGTGACCAAGACGGTGTTTGGAGCCTGATCCTAACTAGCATAAATTTTTAAGATTTTATTTCTCCGTTTTCTCCTTAGTTTTAGTTTTAATTGAAAAGATATATCAGACAATCAAGACAGTGCTAGACAACATAACCAAACACCTCATATTTTCAGGCCTTTTCTCGGTGTTTGGAAATGTGGTCAAACACGATCTTTCGTGTTTGATATGTTACCTCATTATCAGGTAGTCGATCGAGTTCGCGATTCACTCGCTGATTCGAGTCCTTACTCACCACCATCTTTGTCTCCTCCTGACGGGTTGAAACTTGCTTCTCTTCTGTCCTTCTTGAGGGTAAGGTAAAGCTCAAACACGATCACAACAGCCACGCCCACACAGTAGACAATCATGGCGTACAGGGCTGAGTCATCCAGGCTTGAGGCAGGAAGACGAATACCAAGAAACACAGTCACCACTGTTGAGTTGAATAACGGAGATTTCACAATAGTTTACAATTATTCTGGGGTTTTCCAAGGGCTAGGCAAATGCAAGGTGCCAGGGCAAAAGTACAATTTTAAATGCCCAGCCCGGGGATTAAGAGGTGTGCGAATTCCCAGCTACTGCCCTGAGGGGGATAGGCACTGTGGGAATTGACTGGTGCATAATTACTATTCGAAAGAATTTTCATTGCCTTCCAGATTCATGATCCGCAATGTAGTCTTGTCTTGTAGAGAATTTTTAAACAAAAAGTTCACAAAAAAAGAGAGATCAGTTCGGTAGAGGAAGAAAAATTCAAAAGAGGTCTTACCTGCCAAGATAAGCGAAGACAGCCCAACACCACGATGGGCCCAGTTAAAAATGAAGCGGCTACAGGAAAGGAATCACAACAGTAAGCAACAATAAAAACATTTAAAAGGCCTAATTAATTAATTATTGCATAAATCGCAGCTACGGCATCCCTCATCAAGTAGAGTTTCCAGGTTCATCTTACGCATGCTCGTTTTAAAAACATTTACACAGGTAGCCAACCGTAAAGAAAATTGCGACGGAAGAAGTTTATCAGTCAACATACTTGGCCTCTCCAGGGTGGGGTCTAAAGAATGCCATTATTGGTTGAATGACAGCTAACACCAGTACAATAATACCAGTGATTGGGTGGGCACCAGCCTCCTGTTAAGTTAAAAAAGAGAGAGACTAAAACAAACTACCGAACT